CCGCAGAGGTGGAAAATCGATCGCGCGACTCATCATCTCCCGCGACGCCCGACCCATCTTACCGACTCGTTGGAATTCGGAGCATAGCGCGTACGTCGTTCCCGGGGGTGACGTCACCGCGTCGGCACCACCGTCGGGATGATCCGCGCGCGCGCGCGCTGGGGTCTCCCCCCTCGAGACCGAGAGCCAGAATTCTCTCGGCGCTCCGATCCGCGATCTCGAGTCATTCGCGACCACCGCCGCGGTCATTTCTTTCTTTTCGTTATTTCGCTTTCCTTTCCTCCCTCCCCCCGCGGAAATCGCGCGCGTCCGGGAGGCATGAAGTCGCGGTAACGCGAGCGGTTAGGTGTCACGGTCACGGTTGGTGAGTCACGATAACCGATCCCTCGCGAATCTTCCGTCTGTTATTCCTGGATTGTGAGAACTCGCTGTTCCCCGTTGAGGCCCCGTCGGCTTCGTCGTGAGTATTTCTTTTCCTCATTAAACCCTCCTGTTTATTTTCTTCTGACAATTGACGCATCATTGACTTAGATGCTCGCACGGAAGAAAAGTCTGTGGCGAAAAATTCACGTGTTACATGCGAATATATAATCTGTGTGATTTTCATGTTTTCTCTTTTCTTGTGTCGGAGGAGGACGCAGCTCCGGCCCTAAAGAGGGTTAGGTTACCCGGTCGTCGACGCGTTCGATAAAAATATTCGTGGATATTGATACACGGTCGCGCGCCACCCCCGCCTTTCCGCTTCTTCCGGCGAGACGAATTATTTATAAAAAGGAAAAACGAGGAAAAGAGAGAGAGAGAGAGAGAGAGAACGTGAATGCGCCGCGCTCTCCGACCGATGTGAAACCGACGTGGTCTCATCCGTTGATTTCTCGGAAAAGAAGAAGAAACAGAGACGATTAAGTTTCACGAGATTAATTATCGCGTCACGTAAATACGATACGTCACTCGACGCATAATGAGGAATTTGCGAGAACTTTCGGCCCACGTCAATGTGCGGAAAATAATATCAAGTAACATGGACTTACCTCCGGTTATGCCAATGTAAATTAATTCCATGTTTAATTTACTCTTTTTTTAACTTTTAAAAAAAGGTAAAAAGCAAGTTAAATCGCGAAAATCAGTGTCCACTGGACTTTAGTAGATTAACATTAATTTAGATTTAATTTATTCTATTTCTTTCTAATCCTCTTTAGAAAAGACCAGAAAAATAAGTTAAAGAGATTAAAGTTAATCTACACTGATAAAAACAAACGTTAGAATTGCACGGCGAATTTTGTGACTGCAATTGTGGATGTTGCAGGATCGTACACGAGGACTCGACTTCGAGACAATGACGACGACGACGATGACGATGATCGCCGAAAATTTTCATAGTTTCTGCGCACTATTAATACATCCCCTTCCGGAGATCGCGGGAAAAGATATAAAAAGAAAGCGGAGAGGAGGTGTACGGGAACCCGCGTTGCCGTAAAGTTATTTACGTATCGCGTGCCAGCACGCTGGATCGCGTACTTAAATTTTAACGCATTGTACCGCGTTTGTTTCTCCGGGGGATGACTTCGTTGACGGCTTTCGAAACGGCATTGATCTGCACCGCACGCGTGCCTCTCTCTGCCTCTACTGCTGTCTGTCTACGTCGCGAAAAAGAAAAGATGAAAAGAGCAGACGAGAGAGAAAGAGCGCTTCCGAGTTTGCGGCGGGATCCGTCACGGGGGATGAACACGCGAGCGAATATTTTCCCGTTTCGTTTATGCCCTCGACATGGATGGGATATCGATTGGCTTCTACATAGCATACTCTCGATGAAACCTTAAGGTCATCGATACACATATTAATGCGGCTCTATACGGAAAGAATAGTTTTGCTGAAACATCTAAAAATTTGAGATACACATCAGATACACAAATCTTGAAATAGCTTTGTCGGGTCATCAAAATGTAGGATATGGATTTAAAATATGAACGATTTTTGCAGTGTCTTTATTAAGCTATAATAATTATTTTCCAATAAAATTATTTTCAGATTTGTATATCTGACCAAATTTGTAGCTCTAAAATTGTTCTTTTTATATGTTATTCAATAATGCGTATTTTAGCATTATCATCACAGAAAAAAATTAATCTTAAATCAAGACAGGTATATAAGCGAGAATATTATAATCTTAAATATTTTAGTCTGGATTTGATTGAATTTGTATTAAAGCAAGTATAGATATTCTCATTTAGGTTAAATTAACTAGAAACACATTATAGTCTTTATATATCTTCATACTTTTGAGTTGAGTTGAGCAAAACTAACAAATTCAATCAAGTCAAGACTATATATTCTCATATATAAATTCATATATAATATTATAATCTTAAAAAAGTTTTAGTCTTGAATTGTGCAAAAATAACATACATCAATGCACAAATTTAATCAAATCAAGACTAAAATATTTCAGATCGTAAATATTTTTGCTAATATATGAGAATATTTGTCTTGATTTAAAAGTAATTTTTTTCCTTGCGCATTCTCGCAAGTGCGTCTATCATTTTCTTCTTTTTTACAGAACGTTGAACCTTGAACGAGCTTCACGTGGGGTGTGCATGTCACAAGGTCTCCGATAATCCCGTGTTTTCCCGACACCTGCACGAATCTAAGCTAAAAATCCTTGACCGAAAACGTGTATAAATATGTAGACACTCGACGGGGGACGCGGGGTCGCTTTTCCTGCTTGCCAGTTCTCTCGCGGCTAAACGCCGGTAAATGGATGCGGTCGACTCTTTACGCGACGATAAATTACCGTCGCATTAATTAATAACGCGCTGACGCGCGCCGCATCCGAGTTATGTCACGCGTCGTGTGTCGCGTCTTACGTAAGTTAATTGAATCGTAATCCATCCGAGTCACGAAATCCGCTGTCGTTGTTTCCCGTCCCCCTCCATCCTCCCTCGCATCTAATTAATATCCCCTTTACCCTCGAATGACGCGGATATAATTTACATTACCGGGAAACGGAGCGCGACGTGTCTTCTGTTCGCGCGACAGTAACGACCCGCGGATATCGTTGTCAGGCGATCCCCGTAATTGTTGTTAATCGCGACTCCCATAATTGTTGTAAATCGCCTAAAGGACATTAATCTTCTTACGCTCGAGCGTTCATCACTGACTGATGTCGAGGTAACGCGGATGGACAGATGGAAATACGATCTTTTCACGCTTAGTCGTACATTTTCTTTCGTTTTCTCGATTCATCCCTTGGTCGCATATCGGAAATTATCCTCGTCCTTGCGTGTATGTATGTGTGTATGCGTGCGCGCGCGCGCGCGCGCGCGCACGCACGCACGTGGCGCAATTCGTTACTCAGTCGCGAAGCGGATGCACGCGCGCTCTTCGGCGCTTCGTAATAATACGAAATGCGAAAAGCGGTTTATATTGGAGAAATTCCGGCGTTCTAAACTACGCGTCGGGTGACTCCCGCAGAAAAGCGGGACGGCTGCCAAATCGCGAAAAGAAAAATCGTTCGTCGGGCGTCAAATCCGCGTACTATCGACGCCGTTGTTTGGCAGGATTATGCGTTCTCTCCCGTTCGTCACCGACGTTTCTTCGTCCTCTTCGTCATGACGATTACTCACGGGGACCATATATAACATCGGTATCGAGCGCAGCAACCTCGAGTCTGGTAGAAATCTTTAGGTGGGATGGACGTGTTTTCTCCGTCTTGCGTGATTTATAGAATTGGCGATTATCCCTTTGTTTTTCTATTTTGTTCCCTAATACCATCTTGATATCAATAATATTGAGTTGTTCGAAGAATTTATTGATTAAAAATTGGCCAGATTACGAATAGGTACCACTAAATCTAAAGAAGAAAAAGAGCACAACAATGAAATATATATGAAAAAAAAAAAACAGTTTTGCTGAAATATCTAAAAATTTATACAAATCTGGAAATAATTTTGTTAGGCCATCAAAATTATGTTTAATGTTGCAAAATTTTTTATATTCTAGTGACTAATTTGAACGTTTAACTAAATTATTTTCAGACCTGTATCTGGCCAAATTTTTAGATATTTTAGCAAAACTGTTCTTTCCGTAAATATTCTTTTACGAAAATTTGCCCTCGAGTTGATACCAGACAAATGTGATTAGCGCTCACCGATCTCTCTGCTGCATATAGTAATCCTCGCAAAAGACTCACGAGAAAGGAGAGCAAGGTGAAACGAAGGTTCGAAGCTAAACCCGAATTAAATCCATCACCGAAAGCGATATTCGTTTTATTCGTTTTACGATTTCACGGATTCGTATGGATTCTCAATCGCATCACGAAGGTCGACGTTATATCATCGCGCGGAGCAATTATCGATAATGTCGCTCGTTGGAATTGAAATGTCACGTTACCGCATATATTACATGTGTACTGATTGATAATGAGTCTTCTAACTCGTAATACAGGCCTGCAGACTAGAGCAGATGAAAAGATTCTAAAAGATTAACGCACTCTCGCAAGACGTCGGTGTTCCTTGACCTGTCGAAAAAATCGTAAATCTGACTTTTCGAGGTTGATCTTGCGAATATTGATTCTTTGAATGCGAACATTTAATTATCATTTAGAAATCTGTGGTGAAAGCGAATAAAATTTCAAATCGACATTCCTAATTCTTTAGGAATCCTGAGAAGCCAGGAATTTCCGGCGAAGGATTTCCCGTTTCAAAATCGCAAAAAACTAATACTACTAATAAAAGATACTCGCCTTTTTTTCTTTCGTATATCTATTTCCATTTTTATTTAATTCTTTTAAATAATTTTTTAAATAATTTTTTAGGATGAAAATAATGGAGTAAAATGAATTTCAGGTACTCGACGAAGAAGCTCGGGGAGATCGGCGACCCGCAGCACACAATGTCGTATCATCGCGGTGGGCAGGCGGGCGCTGTAGCGGTTTCGTACAGCACCAGTCCAATGGCACCACATTCACCCAGCCGAAGATATTCGAGCGGCACCAGCAGCGGTAGCACCACCACCTCCGCGATCGGTAGCTCGACGTCCAAATTCAGTAGCTACCGCTCCACCGGCTCGTCCTCGCTCCTGGACCGGCCCACCAGTTTCTACACGTCGTCCTCGAGCTCGGGTTTACGCTCCAACTACATCTCCTCGGAGTATAGACGGCCCTATTGCGCGCCAGGAAGGTTAGTAGATCCCGTTAGATCCGACATCCGCATGGATATTTCAAAGGAGCGACAGTTTGGAGTATCGTCGATAGACTCTCGAGAGTATATCGCATTAACCACGTTATTGGTTTCCTATCTTTACATAGCGACATGTAACTTTTATGTGGAATGTCATAAAGTTGTACGTTCATATTTTAACCCGCAGTAATTTGTGGCTATACGCATCTAATTCTCGTTTCATCATGCGGATGGACTCTGTCGGTCTTCATGTCGAATCGGGGAAAAAAACGTTTTTTTGTTTTTAGTCGGACAAACGTGTAATATTTATTGCGTGTATTAACAACGAAGAAAGTGGACACGGTTGAACAACAAGTTCCGCCGAGTCAAGGAACATACTCGGCAATCATGCTAAACAATGCTCTTTTCCTTCCTATCCTCGATCTACATGAAATCTGGTGATTAAAGTCTTTGACTAAATACACAAGAGACAGTAACGTTTTGTGCTGTTCTTTTCCTCAGCCGACGGAACTTGTGGTTGGACATTGCGGTCGAAATTAAATGCAGGAGGATGTAACGTTATAGATTTTCGAGGAAAACGTTACCGTTGGAAAATAAATGTACGGAATTACAATTTCAAAATATTGAATTAGAATTTGCCGTACAGCTTGATTCTTACAGCAACTTCGTCGAAGTACAGTCAATCCAAGAAGTGCTCACTCAGTGAGCGATTCTCGAAATAGGATTTAAATAAGATAAAACCTTAGGGAGATTACGAAACAATCGTTCCACGACGGACTCGAGATGAAATTGAAATGTCTACGGCAGCGTACGACACTATCAACATGTTAAACCACTCTTACCCTTGTTATATGAGAGAATTTTTTGCAAACGATCTATATAAAATATTTCATTTTTAGTTCTCTAATAATAGACAATGATAATGTGCTTGCCTAATGACGTTGCACCTGTTTGTCCCTGTAAATGTCGACGTCTGGAAGTCTCGCACACGAGACGTCACTTTACCTTTGTATTCGCATCACTATAATTCAATTACGAAGGCAGACGTGATATATATATATATATATATATATATATATATAATATAT